TTTGTCACACGTGGATGTGACGTCACTTGCTGTGCCATTCGTCACGTAACATGTCAAGAGCATGTGCTCTAGCTCATGCGTTTGAAAGAGACTGCTATACTTGTTCTCGTCAATCTGTCTGGACATGGCTGCTGTGGTGTCGTGGTGTACCTTGCATTCAACCTCAGCCAGTACCGCTGCCCTTTGGTTTGCAACCCACTTTGTACTTTGTGCCTTTCTTTTGGCATTGTTGTCGTCGTCGTTGTTTTGATTATTGTTGCTGGTGCTGGTATCATGAGTTGCCCATTTTGTGACCCTCATTCCTTCGTCCATACGGCCGCAAGTATCCGTTTGTCTTGGCTGCCGTTTGTGACCATCTCGTTTTCTCTTCTGCTACCAGCAGCTCTCTTTGTTTGATTGCACTTTGGAACGCCTTTTGCATAGACTATGACATACACGTGTGTGCCAGTGTGTACTGGCGCTGCCGGATGCATGCCACATCAAGTCGAGTTGGTTCGGGGTACTACGGCTTATGGTCAACATTTATGAACGTCCCAGAAATCCTCCTAACGTTTTTATGATTTATGGCTGCACCCCAGATGCACTTTCGAATGTCAAAACGCATCTGGCCATTGGAGCGGCCTGACTTCATTTTCGGCAGTCCGCATCGGGGCACACCGCAACGCCGGCATCAGAAGCACGAACAAACAGCCCACTTCTTACTATGTATACCTACATCATCAGGATTTGCATATGCTCCGATGCAATGCCAATTTGACGCGATGCCATATATCAACTCGAAAATCAAGATAAATTACGAGAATTACCGCGAAAATTCACGTTTATTACCCGACATCTTGCTGCTCGTGGCTTGCATCCTTTTGCCCCACACTCTGCCCTCACACGTAGCCATGCGTAGCGCATGTCTTGGGGGTACGCTGCTACACGTCTCATGACGCCCATACTAGGCTCCATCCTGTCCTTTCTGCGCTGCCATTTCCGTCCGCTCTTCGCAACCCCTCGGACTGCTACCTCTCAGGATGCACTCAAAGCCGTTCTTCCTTGTACAGCATCCGCTTACCATTTCCGCTTGCTATTTTCTCCACTACGTCGGCTTGCATTTCACGTCCAAGCATCCCTAACCTTATTCCCCTTGCAAATAAATTCATTCACTTCACACACACACACACGACAAGTCCTTTTTGAGATACACAGACACAAGATACAAGATACACTAAGATACAAGATACAAGTCACAAGATACACAATGTCATACAATTTCCAATTTCAATCTCCATCACACCAATCATCCCCCGCCCTAATACCACACCTTACACAACATACCCCACTCCCTTCACTCTCATACCTCGACTGCCACACCACCCACCAACTTCCTCACTTTCCCTCCACCACCCCCCGAACGCCTAAAACCAACTCACTCACTCAAAAAAAAAAAAAAATTACAACTCCAGCGCCATCCCTTTCTCACCATTCAAAAACCAACATCCTCCTCTTTCCCACACCTTTACCCCCCCGCTGCCATTTTCCAAAAAAAAAAAAAGAGGCCAACAGCACCATGTATTCCCATCTGGTCACCCACGATAGTACTAGCATGGCCCAACATGGCTTAACTGCGGCGATCGGACGAGAGCCGGTGTATTCCATGTGGTATGACCGTTGGCGACAGTTCAAAGCATAATTCTCAATATAACCACGCGACATAACCAATGGGCACCTTGAACCTCGCAAACAAGATGTTGTCATCAAAAAGTTGCAAATCGACAACCACTTTTGACATGAGAATTCCTGTCCCACAGCTTTCCTTTATTTGAGCAGGTGTGCTGATGAGCATCTGGGTTGATTACGACCATCAAGAGGTTGATATTGTTCGTAGCCAAGGCTGTGCGCATCTTGCATCCCCTCACTTGTTATTCTGTGCTATTGGATTCGGGCTCTAGATGAATTGTGCGATCATGGCTCACATCCTTTATTTGTCAAGCCTGCGGTCAATGGCAAAGTATTCACATCAAGCGGCACGGCTGATTACAAGTTATGATCGCACATCAGGAGGAAAAATGCCAGCAAGAACATCATGGGCTGGCATTGAGCTTGGAGCTGTCGGCTCAGCCGATCGCTCAGCTCCGTAAGCATAATAATGTGGTGCCAAGTCAGAAAGCCAGCTAACAAAAAAAGCAATGCAAAAGCCGGTTAGCATTCGGGAATGCGCTCATGCCATTTCAGTTATGGAGGACATGAACAACACACCTGGCTTCAACGCCAGAGATATCGCGCATAAAATTAGCCGAGGTGAGAAGGACTTCGTTGAAAATGACATAGGCTGGTTGTTTCTCGGCATGAAGTACTGAGCCCGGGTGCACCTCCAATTTCTAAGCCACAGGGCATGATGAGATTGACGGGCAAGTCGCCAAGCAAAAAGGAAAGCGTTCAGCAGTTTACCTGGTCCCCTCGAATCGAGCGATAACTTCCGTCCATGTGCAAGCGTGCTGTCCAAGCGAGATCATCAAAGAACAAAACAAAACGCGCACGTGTCAGTGGAGGCATGTTTGCGACCTGGCTCGGAATTTACCCCGCAGTGCACATACCAGAGTTGGCAAAGAAGCCTCGGACCAGACATTTGAGAATGGCATCGCTGTCGCCTTCAGAGCTGACAAGCGGAATGTCAAAGCGCCGCAATGATTTCCGTAATTGCCGGCAAATCTCACGGGCTCGCAACAAATTCTTCTGGTTAAGGAAATTCTGATAACACCAGCGACCATCGTAGTTGGCACGTTCAAAGCCCATGAAAACGTTGAGTAGGGTTAAATGATCGCCTTCTTCGCAAGAAAACAGTTGCCTAACACGATTCAGATGCATTGAGCACATATCAACGCGCCTCCATGAGTGTTGAGGGCAGAGCACCAGGGGTAGAAAACCATGCTAAGGCATACATACTTGCGCCGCGCAGCTTCTTGTCTCTTGTTTGGAGGGGACGTGAACACGTGTTGAACCTTATAAACAGAGTGACGAGGGACAGGGGATGGCCTGAGCAAGACGCAACCACTGCCAGCAAACATGTATTGGAAAGAGGCATCAAGTTGGATGGCGACATCTGCTATCAACGTATACCTGCAGCATGGCGATGATGGCGGTAATCTCCTCGCTACAGCCACATTCACCAGAGGCCAGCAAGGTGCGTGACAGCATAGGTGGAAGCGGAAACTCTGCCATCTGAAAGCCTGTTGCGTCCATATCATTCGAGATGAGCATGTCTGACGAGTCGAGCGCGGCAAAGGGATGTGTGAACAAACCTAGCGGATTGGTGAGGCGGCCTTGGTCATCAATAGCTCCAAGAGCAAAGAGACTCTATGGTCCAAGAAAAATGAGGGCCAAAAAAAAAAAAAAATTGTTTGGGCGTGACTCAAAACTCCTTTCCATACCTCGAGAGCGTTGACCATGGTTTTGGCGGGTGGTGGCGATAGGTAAGGGAATCGTAACACGTTGTGAATACCCAACGCCTTGAGCTGCAGGATCACGTTTGAAATGTCACTGATGAAGAGCAGCGGGCGCAGGCAACGAACACGTTATGTGACGATAAATGAGAGCAATTGTCGAGAGCAATGGGTCCAGTCGTAGCAACTGCGACTGAGACATACACGCGTTGCATCTCGGGCACGGTCGTGGCACGCAGCTCACGGTACCCAGCCTGAGGGGAGTGTAGCCAACGAGTTTAGCATGAGCAAGATGCCGAGATGACACCGACATGACACCTGGTTCGGGGTCGATGGCGATGAGCCCACCTCTGTATATAGACGGTAGACACAACCGGAGCGCATGCGACCGGCACGACCGGCGCGTTGGTTGGCGGAAGCTTGCGAGATGGGTGTGACCTGAATATAAAAGCAGAACGAGCAGAAATGGCGAAGTGAGGCGCACTGCTGGCCAGGAGGGGCGACATCAGACGAGCCAACTCGGACAGAATGCAAAAACGCACCACCAGGGATTCAATGCCAGTGTCTGGGTTATAGCCTCGCATCTTGACAAAGCCACAATCAACGACGTAGACGATGCCAGGGATGGTAATACTGGCCTCGGCAATGTTTGTCGCCACAATCACCTTACGGCGCCCATCACCAGCTGGCGCAAAGACGTGAAGTTGATCGCGTGCTGGTAATGCGCCATACATCGGTAGCACGTGTGGTGCTCGCCGATTGTCTCCAAACTGCGCATTGAGGCGCCGCACGGCTTCGTCCACTTCCTCCTGACCCGTCAGGAAGGCCAAGACGTCCCCAGCTCCCATGGTCGAATGAATGTCGAGAATGGTGCTGACTGTGGCGCTCAGGTAGTCTGGCACGGGGGTTTCGCTGAACATGACAGTGACAGGGTAGGTGCGCCCCTGGTGGGTGGAGGCAGCGGAGAGGGGGATGGGCACAAAGAGGATGAGCACGGCACACGGCTCTTGGACTGGCAACATGGACGAATTCACGTCCAATACTGCTCGGGCACAAGGAGGCTGAAGGACGTACCTCGACAGTGATGATGCCTGCTGTGTCTTGTCGACTATCGCCTGTTAGGTTTCGATTAAAGTAGTTGCGGAAGGCTTCGGCGTCCAATGTGGCGGAGGACACGATAATCTGCCACGAGAAAAAGCAATGAACATCAAAAGAAGAGTACATGGTGACTGGAAGGCAATGAAGCAGGTGTCCAACAGTCGGGTGTACCTTGAGGTCTGGACGCTTCTTTTGAATCTTGTAGAGCAGGCCCACTACAACGTCCAGAAAGATGGTCCTGCAAGGATGATTGTAGGATGTGAGATGACCTTTATGCTAACACTGCATTGGAAAAAGGCTCCCGCGCTGCAGCTGTACCTTTCATGGGCTTCGTCGAGCATAATGACGCTGTATCGCTTCAAGAGGGGATCCCGCATCATCTCACGAATCAAAACACCTGCCAGGACGCGTTTGAGATCAACCGTCGCGTCGTTAAACATGGTCATCGGACCGCAGGGCCAAAGGTTGTGTGCGAAAGAGGCATCGAAACTTTTATGTTTCGGTGTCATACCTTCGGTCATAAACTTGATGCGCGTTTTGAGTTCATCGCAAGCATCCTCAAAGCGAATGGCATAGCCGACTTCCTCGCCAACGCTATCAGATATCCAAGAGCGCGAGGCCACACGGCCAAAGTGCGTCCGTCAAGGAGAGGAAGAGCAGCAAGAGCAATCAAAGGAGGACAAGTAAAAGCATGAGACAAAGTGCTTGCAGAGGTTCATCGTGCCTGACACCATTCACGCCACAAATACAAGAGCGTCAGACAAGGCGCGACCGAGGCAAGGAGCGTACTGGCAGCCTCGCTCCTCAGCAACACGTTGAGCCACGCTCACTGCGGCTACGCGGCGAGGTTGGAGACAGGCAACCACGCGCCCGTCAGCCGTCCAGCCAGCTTCGTGTAGATACTGAGGAATCTGTGTACTCTTGCCGCTGCCTGTCGGCGACGATAAAGTCGTGATGTCCCAGCCCCCGAGAGTCCGGCAGGAGAGCAAAGACCGTGAGTGGGCGCCCGGTACAAGTCTGTATAGCAGAAACCAAATCGGAGAGTAAGAGGTTCCATTGGGTCACACTGCCTCGGACCTGTTTCACCAACTACAATCAAGGTCTGATACTTTTCGAGCATGTAGAGGATGCGTTCGCGCGCCTAAGAGTCAACAGGTAGATGAGACCTTTCGGCTCCCTTGGAAGGCCCCGGGTCGAGCGCGACTAGACATGAGCTCGGGGCAGAAATAGCAGGGGTTTGGACCCCACCTCAAAGACGGGAAGACGAGCGCGCTGCTGGGACAAGGTGTAGGCTTGGTGGGCATTGTAGGTGAAGCCAGTGCGATCCTCGCCGCTGGCATCGTGTCGATCCGCCTCCAACGCTACCCAAGCGCGAGGCCGCATCCCGAGTGAGTCACGCGCCCCGCTGAAGTTGTATTTGAAGACGTCAGACAACGAGACAGGTGGCAAAGAGTATCAGAGGGCCAGGCCATGGCGAGACAGACTGCCACAGCGCCGTCCGGTCACGCAGCCAGTGAGCATTCATGCTCGTACCTTTGACGCCGGGCCGGCGTTCACCAGGCTTCCAGAAAGCCATGGTCAAGAACAGGCCAGAGCCGGCGCTTTGCTCACGCCCCAAACTTGCCCTCCTGCGCCAAAACACGCTCACCAAGCCGTAGCTCCGTCCTCATCCATGTGCCTCCTCCGCCGCCTTTCTTGACCCTCGCTCGTCCAAAAAAAAGAAGAAAAAATAATTTTTTTTTTGAGAGAGAGAGAGAGAGAGAGAGAGAGGCGCTCTGTGCATGTGTGTGCCTTTTGTCGTTACAAAACGATTTTTTTTGGGTGTTTTCAACAACGAGAGTGTGTTCTACTGACATGAATGAGCTCAGAGCGCCAGAGGGGATGATGATTATATTGAGAGCACGCAGGCGGGCGGGGCAGGCACAGACACAGAGAGAGGGTGTGTGTGTGCGCGCGAAGAGAAGAAGAAACAGGTTGTATCGTCGTCGTGTACTGGGGTTCTGGGTGTGTTGGCTGGTATATCCTGTGACAAGTCGATGGTTCGCAGCATTACGAGACTGGGCTCAATCAAGACATTGATTTCTTTGGGGGACGGCGGGGCAAGCAAGGTGCTGGAGGTTAAAAGAGCACCAGGCGAGGTGGAGCATGACGCCAAGAAGCTGGCGGGCTCGGTCGTAAATTTGGTGGCGTCTCTCGGACCGCGTGTTGCAGTCCAAAGTATCACTCGAGCCTGCGTAGGTTTGCGGCCCCGATCTAGTTGGAAGCATCTGGCTGTCCCTGCGCGGCAGGCTTGCCCACTGGCGTAGTGTCATGAGGCGTTGCTGAAGAGTTGAGGCATAAAAAGAGACGCGTTGGCTCGCTCGATCGGACAACCAGCGACTGCGACTGACACGCGCACGGTTTGAAACACACAAAAGCCACAAAGGGTAAAGCGGGAAAGCATGGGTACCGTGGAGTCACAGCGACAGAGGAGGCTAGGGGCGCATGGTGGGTACCGACCTGGGAAACGGGCATTCGAGTCTAGCTCAATGGTGACGGGGCCGTCGTTGACGAGATCCACGGCCATCATAGCCCCAAACTGACCTTCTTGAATCGCAGCAGGCCGAGGATGGGCTTGCCGCAGCTTTCCCAAGACTTGCTCATAAATTTGGCGACTGAATTCGCCTGGGGCCGCCATATGAAAATCGGGCTTGTTCGACTTCATTTTGGCGTACAGGGTAAACTGGCTGACACACAACAGCTCCAGGTCCAAATCTTTGATGCTCTTGCGCCACATCTTCCCTTCCTCATCCTCAAAAAGGCGTATGTTGACGAGCTTCTTCACCATGTAATCGACATCCTCTTCAGTGTCCTGCCGCATGGCCGTGCGACGACGCGTGTCAGTTCCGGCCGCGATTGAGAGTCGCCCTCAGCATCAAGTCGAGCGGGCAGGGCGCGCGTCGTGGGAGTTTGCGTCAGGACCCCACGCAGTCCGCCAAGGCCCCAGCAGAGACGAACAACGCACATCGTGAGTGACGCCGAGTAGGACACAGATGCCCTTGTCAATGGCGCTCACCACGGCACCATCCACTAGTTTGAGGAAAACACGACCAGATGCCGAGCGAGACACGTTTGGTCGCCCAGTTGGGTGAGTTTCTGAGCACACAAAGCGTCAAGGCGTCTCAAAGCGTCAAGACGCCTTGCTGCTTGCAAGCCCGATCCTGCACCCTGGCAGAGGCACGCAGCACAGCCCACCTACCAGACACCGAAGCGCGCAACACGCGCTGCACCACTGCCTTCATCGCCAGCAGCTCATTCACTGACACACACTTGGAATTTTTTTTTTTTTCTTCGTCTTGAGTGGTGATTGTCAAAAACTTGTGGTGACAAGAAAATGAGAAATTTGGTGCCTTTTGTAGAACAGGTGAAGACGAAGACTTATCAAAGGGCATGCTTGTGCGTCAGGGTGGAGGCACTGCGACGTGTGTGGATCATGGGAAGAGGGCCGTGCCACACAATGGGAGGACAGATTCGGAAACAATCCTTTCACGGGCACCGATCGCCTTGTGGCTCAGACCCCAAAGAGACTAATTATTTTGAATGTCTATTGACATGGATGCCTCGTGCACAAAGAGAGAGAGAGAGCGAGAGAGAGAGCGAGAGAGAGAGAGAGAGAGAGCAAATTTGGCCTGAACTTGATAATCAAAGCACTCGTGGCCAACAGCATGTGCATTGGGAACGCTATCCCATCCACCCTCCCTCTCTTCCGCTTCGGCGATGCTTAGGCCAAGCGGACGCGAAGAATCTGTTTCAGGGGTGGCAGAATTTCGAGACGGAGAGCGGTGGCCCAGGTTTGGCGGTCCAGTCGGGGCTGGCCTTGCAAGAGGGCTTGGAGAAGAATGTGCTGGCAGCTGGTGGCGTCTAGTTTGGAGCTATTGAAGTCAAGGCGATGGCCCTGGGGTTTGGACATGGCTCGAAGATGGCGGAAGGCGCGGTCTCGGGCGTCGGCAGGCTGACTTCCGACGAGGGCAGCAACGAGGTCGCGGGCATTGGCTTCGGTCATGATGCTACCGTTGTAGCTGTAGAACCGATAGATGGCCTTGTCGCGCAGTATCTGCCATGCTCCTTCGTGGGGGGTGCGTGGGTGACAGGCTGCCACACCCATGACAAAGTCCTCTTCGGAGATCCAGCTGCCTAAGGAAGTCGGGGACGCGGGATCATGGCAAGAGGGTGTGAATACGGTTGTGGGTAGCGGCAGCGATACCGGTGGTTTGTGAGTGGGCCCCCTTTGCTAGTTCCACTCTCGATCCTTGATGGCGGGTTGGTAGGCGGCGCTGAGAAACACAAGGACGTGGGGTCGGCAAAAGGCGGAAGACGAAAGCGGGGCGCGCTTACCATTTCCGCGCCGATCAAAGGCTCGAAAGAGAGCAGCGGGTGTTTCAGGAACGCCTTGGGCCTGGAGAAAATTGCCAAAGGCCTTGATGTCCATGTGGGTGGGGCCGGCGTAACGACGGTACCAATCGAGGACCTGTTGCTGGCGTTGAGGGCCCCAGCCGAGGGCGGCCAGCATCTTGGCGTCGGCTTGATTGAGCTGGTGAGAGAGCTGCATATCGCGGGCGGTGGTCAGGGTCTGTGCCAAGCCAACGTTCATGCGACGATTGTACCGATAGCCTTCATCCCATTCGTCCACCTGATCGGCCAGCGTGGCGTCGGCTTGGGGTGGGCCATCATCATCATCATCATCAACGTGGGGACGGTTGTTGGAGTGGGGGGAGAGACGCAGGGTAGTGAGGGCCTCGTCAAAGTAGCGAGTGGCGGCGTCCATGTCGCCGCGCTCAGCGGCAGCGCGGGCAGCGCGATGGAGAAAGGTGGCTTCTTCCTGGCGTAGCTCCCGACCCGAGGCTTCGAGATGTACGCCGTCGACGACACGCCCGCTGCGGGCGGGATGGTGGCGGTGGCGACCGCTGGGTGTTGCAGGACCACCTCGACGAGAGCCATCACGCGAGGCGGGTGGGCGGCCGCCATGGACCTTGTCGACCGTGCTGTCACCGGGGGCTGGAGGGCCGATGTTGACGCGGACGGTGCCATTGGCCATGGTTTCGATGGACACGGGGGGCCCTGCAGGATCCCCTCGCGGGGCCCCAAGGGTGATTTGGCTGGCATTTTGCTCGGCCTTGGTCTTTCGGGTGTAGACCGGGGGGCGATAAAGCGGGGAGGCTTCGGCAAGATCAGTCAGCTCATCCTGACGGCGAAAGCCAACGGCACGGCCTGTGTTGGGACGGGATGTTTGCACACCGACGCCCACGCCACGGGCAGGTGGTGGGGCTGCCGAACCGGGCCGACCGGGTCGCCCTCGGCCATGATGGGCGCGAGCTTGTGTCTGGGAAGAGCTGGTGGTGCCGGCCGCAAAATTGGCCGCTGCTGCGAGATGTTGTTTCTCGGCAAAGCCACAGACGGCACACGACGTGCCCCCCAAGATCTGGGGGGGTTGAAACTGGCTGCACGGCAGCGCCATGTGTATGCGCATGCGTGTGAACGTGCGTCGGTCTGTGTATGTCAACTATATCGGATGATGAGGTATGCAAAGACCAGGTTAGAGACGAGGCCAACCAGCTCAAAGCCTCGAGTGCCTGCCGATCTCTATTCTCAAACTCAAATGATCCTTGCTTGATCTGCGCCGCGCAGGCTCGACCGATCTGACGGGGCGTGACGGCTGCCGGGAGTCACGGCCACCGACCGCCAAGACAAAAATTGTCAGCGAGTTGATCATCGTAAAATTTCTGACCAATTTTGTGTGCAGTGTTTGTATGGTGTGTGTGTGTGGGGGAAACAGGACGTTGTCAGGAGGGACTGACAGTTGGTATTTGGCTGCAATGCTGACAATTCACATTGTCAGACGGTTGTGTCTGTCTGTCTGTCTGTCTGTCTGTGGGCACATGTGGGTTCTCCTTCAGCAGCAACAAGCAGCAGCAACAAGCACCAGCCACAAGCAACGATCTCTGGCTTACAACCCTTTGCTTCTGTGACGAACAACAAAGGGGCCTTTTGTCCATGATTGGGATCAGGTCGGAGCTCGTGCTCCCACTCAAAACGCTACACGCCACACTTTGCTGCATAAAGTGCATTGTTCTCTGCACAAAGTATCCACCAGAATAGAGGTGATGGTTAACGATGTGGGTATACTTCTACGTCTTTTGCTTCATCTACACCCACTGCGTCCCCTGCCTTGCTGCCTCTCGAGCGAGCCTTACGTCCTGCCTTGCACCTCCTCTGCTTCCCCCAGCTCCCGCCCGGCGGCCTCCCGCCACCCGTGCTCCATCTTGGGGGTTTGGAACAGCCCAACCGACCCCACCAAGTGTCCCTGGAAGCGCCGATCCATCCGCTGCAAATCCATCCGACTTCAATCCTTGATCTTACTTCATTTCATGCTCTGCTTCTTTGTTTGAGTCTTGCTCCTGGAACATCTTGCCGTTTTTTTTTGGTTCTCTCACTCTCTCTCTCTCTCTCTCTCTCTCTCTCTCTCTCTCTCTCATCTCTCTCTCATCCCTCTCTGTTTTCTCTGTCTCTCTCTGTCTCTCTCTGTCTCTCTCTGTCTCTCTGTTTCTTTCTCTCTGTCTCTCTCCTCTCTCTCGACGACCAAACCAATTCATCTCTCTTTCTTTTCTCTCTCTCTCTCTGTAGTTGTGCTTTTCCTTTGTGTCTTTGCTCTTTACTTCTCTCTTTCTCAAACCGACCGAACCAATTCATCTCTCTCTCTGTCTCTCTCTCTGTGCTCTCTGTGCTCTCTCTCTCATTTTCCTGTTGAGGGCGCTCACTGACTGACTTTGTGGTGCTTGGTCTCTACTCTGCGTCTTCCTCGAGTCTCGGAGGTTCGTCTGCTGGGGTGGTTCATGGTTGACATCCAATGTCCTGACAGTCTGCACGCGTGCGCGCGCGAACACGACTTGACACTCACGCGCGCTCTGCCTCCGCCTTCTCCTCCTCCTTGGTCCATCTTTGGTTTGCGGAACGTCCGCAGCCCACACAACCGCCATCAT